GTGGGAATTGTCTTGAAAAATCACTGTTTAACTGAAGCTTGTGAGCATGTGTGTACACACACATATATATACGAATGCCCTGCTCAGGTTGATAAGCTTCTTCTCATTGGTCAATAAGCTTCAATGGTTGAACAGCAAGAGCCAGAAAAAGGGGTTTATGACATGACAGCTTTAATGGCAATGAGGTTGTCATGACTGTGTTTTTTAAGTTTGATTCTGAACTCCAGGCAAAAGGGAAACATGCTGAAGCAGGTAGCTCTTATTATCAGAAAGGAGTGTTCTCTTGACCCTTCTTGGGAATATCGAGAATATTACACTATTACCTCCCATTTACTGAGCACTCACTATGTGCCAGGAACACAGTACTTACGACAACCAAATGAAGTTTTTCTCTTGAAATTGAGGAAATTCAGATTCCCAGAGGTGATGAATTCCGTAAGCCTTCTCAGCTAGTAGGTGTTGGAGCCTGAATTGCTACTCAAGTATATCTGGCCCCAGCTACTGCCCCACACAGTTTTCCCATGTCTTCAAACATGTCTTCAGCAATGTTTTCACAGCAAAAAGACTACTTTTTATGGCTCTTTGACCTTCAAGTCGAAACTTCTAGACTTCGGGGTTTGTTTGGTGTCATGTTCAAAGCAGAAATGAATTGACCGACTGCAGCTTGAAACTTGGCCCCATGCCTCCCCCACCTATTATCTGTGTCTGTATCGGTAAACCTAAACATGTGTTAGTCCACTATGTTAAGGTGCCCTCTCTTCATTTTTCTATTTAAACCTCACAACAGTTGTGTGACTCAGAATCCTGGTTATCAGTAACAGGACGATGTGAAAGAATTTAAATAAAGGGAGACATCTGATTATAAAGACTGTGCTGTATCTGAGAGAATGTAAGGGTAAGAAGTGTGGCTGGGCTTCCCGAGGGAGACTGGAAGCAGAGGTCAGGATGTCAGAGTGCAGACAAAGGGACCTGCTTCTCCGGAAGGAGTTGTCTCTTGTTCTGACTTCTCTCCCTACCCCCATGTTAGGGTGACCTTCCTTGTTTTCAAGTACAAGGACTTCATTAGGGTTACACTTCCAGCCTTTGGTCATGAATTTGGGAAAAGAACCAGGCACTCATAGCTGAGCCCTTTCCCTCCCCTTTCTTCTCTGAAAGCCCCCAGAAGGCCCCCAGTCTCCCTTCCTCCATCTTTGTGATAGAGCCTCCGGCTATTTAGGGCTGCCTATAAAAAGTCTATCTCACTGTGGGGTTCAGCAATGCCACACTAAGCCATGTTTATCTGCAAAAAGCTGATATATTGCTCTTCCCTTGTCCATCCCTCAGTTGGCTCTGAAATGAGGCAGAGAAAGGAGAGGGTCCTCTCAAAGTTTTGACATGCAGTCAAAAAGAGGCTTACCCAGTCATGGTCTCACCCCACTGCCCAGACCAAGAATTAGCAGCACCTCTGGGTCCTAGGCCCACATGCCTCTGAGATTCTGACTGACCTAACATGGGTCAGCCCACCCCGGGTCCAATCAGCTCTGCCAGGCTCCTGGGGTCACCATGTCCAAAGAGGGAGGAGGCTCATTGGAGGGAGAGAATCAGGCTGAGCAGAAGCCTCAAGATTCCTGTTAGAGGTAGGTACATGTTGTCCAGGCAGTTGCATCTTAGGAGAGGAAAATCTCGCAGCTAATGTCAGAGCTGAGATTCTTACCCAGGTCCAATTCACCCTCACGGCATGTTCTTAACAGAAAACAAGCAGTGAGGCCCCAGAAGTTGGCCTTGAGCTGGGTATTCTCTAGTTAGCATTAAAGAGAATGAATACATATCATATATAAAAAAGGACTTCAACAGGGGTGCCTGGGTGGCTCCGTCGATTAAGCGTCTGCCTTCGGCTCAGGTCATGATCCCAGGGTCCTGGGATTGAGCCCCACATCAGGCTCACTGCTCAGCGGGAAACCTGCTTCTCCCTCTCCTCCCCGCTCATGCTCTCTCTCACTATCTCTGTCGCATTCTCCCCCTCTCTCTCTCAAATAATTAAAAAAAATTTTTTTAATTACAAAAAATGACTTCAACAGTAACACTAAGGGCAAGGCGGAGCTAAGATTGTACTTCCCTCTTTTCAGTGACACCTCCTTTTCCTCTCTCTGGACTGGCCTAGAAATGTTGGCGCTGCACTGATAGAAAGCAGACTATCTCCTGCAGAAAGTCACCACTTACAAGCTGTGTGTCCTAAATCTCTTCACCTGAAGCTCTTTGATCAATTGTTTCTTCATCCATTAAACAAATCTACATATTAGTATATAATACCTATGCATATTGTATGTTAATACCTAAGACATACATATATAGCATATGAGACATTATAGATTACTATATAATACAGATGCCTATTATTGTATCAATAAATGTACTTGGATATCTACCACATGCCAGGCACTGTGCTAAGTAGTCAGAAATACAGTGAAGCCTACTAGATGCTTCTTTTCTTAAGTAAGAAATGCAAAGTAAAACTAACTCTGCTGAGATAATATTGTTCTGTTCTCAGATTGCCAAATGTCCAAATGTTCCGCAACACATATGGGTGAGGCCAAGGGGAAACATTTATGCTGATACATTGTGGGTGGGAATACAAAGTGGTACAACCCTGTGCCAAAATTTGTTAAAATACAAGCTCATATACTCTTTGTACCAGCAATTTGTTTCTGAGAAATTATCCTTCAGATGTTCTCACACTCATAAAAAGTAACATATGCATATGATTATCATCATTGCAACACTGTTTGTAATAGCAACAGATTAAAAATGACTTCAGTGGCCCTCAGAGTGGCCTTGGATCAGCCAGAGAGTGAAACAGTGAGCACCGGTGACAGAAAATGTAGAAGCTCTCTAAGGTCTAAAATGGAAAACTGCCCAGGCATGTTGGTGAGCAGAAAAAGCAAAGTACAGGACAGGGTGTAGAGTGTACTAACGTAATGCTAGGTGATAGTACAGTTATATGAATAATGTAGCCATGTAGAGTAATACTCATTATAGTATAGTAATACGAATAGGATTAGAAATAGTTATACACTAATATGACGAAATCATGTGATAGTATTAGTAATAGTAATGCTAATAATTAGTATAGTGCGTGTGTGTGTGTGTGTGTAAAATCTTCTATAGGTATTTTTAAAAATCTCTGGAAAGACTTTTAAAACCAATATAAGCGGTTTGGGTTTTTAAAGAAATATAGGTGGGTGGGGGGTGTGTCACCTGGGTGGCTCAGTCAGTTAAGCGTCTGCTTTCAGCTCAGATCATGGTTTCAGAGTCCTGGGATCAAGCCCCGCATCAGGCTCCCTGCTCAGCGGGGAGCCTGCTTCTCCCTCTTCCTCTGCCTCTCCCCTGCTTGTGCTCTCACCCTCTGTCAAATAAATAAATAAAATCTTAAATATATATATATATATATATATATATATATATATATATATATATATATATATATATATAGGTTGGAACCCAGGCAAATGGGGAAAGGGGTAGGAATACAACTTTTTGCTGAAAATCTTTTGAGAATGTTTGAACCTCATGAATGTATAACCCATTCAAAAATGGAAACAAATACACATAATTTAAAAATAACAGCAGCGCCATGAGCACAAAGCCAGAGGCCAGGACGCTTCGGGCGTAGGTGACAGGGTACAGACCTGGCCAGCAGAGGAAGACCCTGAGGAAGTCACTTTTTTAAAATGAAACTTGACAGAGAAATAGGCAAAGGGGCAAATGAGTGAACGAGGGCTGTCCAGGAAAAAGGACCCCATGTACAAAAGCTCTGAGGAGGGAAGGGGCTTCATCTGCAAGGAATGGAAAGATACCCCATACAGCTGCGCTGCAGACACAAGGGGTAGGGGGACTGGCACGTGGGAGCTAAAGACACAGTGAGGAGCCAAAGTATGCAAGCTATGTTAAAAAACTTGGACTTTATCCAAAGGGCAGTAGGAAGCCATCGAGTTTAAGCAGGAAAGTGATGGAATCAAGGTTATGTTTTGAATAGATTGCTCTGGAGCCTCTGAGGAGAAATGACTGGGGGAAGCAAGAGTGGATGTTGACAACCCATATATCTGAGAAGCTGCTTTGGAGCACTATCTGGTGGTTTCTTCTAAAGTTAAACATACACCTACCCTATGACCTGGCAATTTCATTCTTAGGTATTTATCCAAGTTAAATGAAAACATATGTTCACAGAAGTATTTGCACAAGAATTTTTATAGCAGCCATATTGGTAAGAGCAAAAATGATCTCCCCAAACCCTACAAATCTCTATCAAAAGATGAATTTCTAAGCAAATTGTGGTGTATTTATACACTGGCGTACTATTCGGCAATATGAAGGAAGGGACTCCTGACAGACACAACACAAATGATTCTTAAATCTGTGGGGGAAGAAAAGGACAGAAATGCATACACCATATGAATCTATTGACATGAAATGAAATCCAGGTACAGAAAAAATAACCCATAGTGATAGATATCAGGAAGTAGCTGCCTGGGGGGGAGAGAGAAATTGACTGGAAAAATGAGGGAATGTTCTGGGGCGATGGAAATGTTTTATTTCTTGTTGTACATGGCAGTTACACAGTGTGTGCAACTGTCAAAACTCATCAAAGTGAACAGCTGAGATTTATGCTTTTCATTCTATGTTAAGTGTATCATATATCTCAGTAAGAAGAAGAAGAAAGAGAAGGAAGGAAGGAAGGAAGGAAGGAAGGAAGGAAGGAAGGAAGGAAGGAAGGAAGGAAGGAAGGAAGGAAGGAAGGAAGGAAGGAAGGAAGGAAGGGAGAGGAAAGAAATAGTGGTCATTGAGAAAGGTAGGAGGTGTTTATAATAATCCAGGAGAAAGGTCATGGTCGCCTGATGCCCTATCATGGGGATCAAGTAAAATAATGTGTAGAAGATGGCAAACTATGAAGGTCCATGCAAACCATAAAGCTCTATACATACTGTGAAGCCCTGTGCAAAAGTGAGGATTTAGTCAAACTTAACCCATATCAAATTCTGGAGGTGAACGTGGGACATCTGATTGCCTGAGGCAGTCCTGTTTATTTGCAATGAAGGGCTTGTGGGCTGTTAATCATGATTTTCTTGTTGGTCTGTCACCATTTGGCAGGAAATGGATCCAGAGGCTGCTGCGATTCATCAGAATACTTGGTCTTGAGGCAAAAATAAAGCAGTGGTGGTGCCTGGCTGGCTCAGTCAGTGGCTCGTGCGTCTCTTGAACTCGGGGTTGTAGGTTCGAGTCCCACATTGGGTAGAGAGGTTACTTAAAAATAAAATATTCAAAAAATTTTTAAAACGAATAAAGTAGTGTGGGGAGAGGTGGGGGGGCGGGGTACAGAGCTGCCTTGCCAAGGATAATTTTCTACTAAAAACTGGGCTTTCCAAACAAAAAAAACTGCATTTAGCTCCTGGGCTTGAGTCTTGAATTTATTTTTTGAATCACTAGGGTTTGAAGGATACCAAGAAAAGGAAGCAGGCTGTTAGTTCCTGAGGCAGGGACCATAACAATCAGTGACATGGCCACCCACGGTTCAGGAGAGTTCTCTGGGAGCTGAGAGTGTGTGGGAAATACACATGGGCTGCCTCTGAGTGCAGACAGGTTTAGAGAAACAGCTATGGGGAAACCAGTCAAAAGACATCAGAAGAACTGGCTACTCACCATTTAACCGAACGCAACTTTTTTTATGTGCTTTTTCAATGTTAATAAATCCCTAATTATTTGCTTGCATTTCTTTTTGATTTTTCTCTCCCAAAACCACTTTGAATGAGCAGACACAGCTGGCTCCCTCCTATCCACACCAACAGACGCTAAATGCCCTGTACTGTCTTTGGGCCCTTTGTCCATGAAGAGGAGCCATGCCTGCACGAGTCAGATTCCATGACCTCCAGAAGAGGTTAGAAGATCCTCTTCAGAGCTACAGTGGGCATTTGCCATATTTTTATTAGGTATTATCTGTCACCTAATCCCCCTCTCTTTCTAAGAATTGATCTCTGTTGTAGTTTCTCCTGGTGTGAGGTAGGACCCATCTTCCACATTGAAAGTAGACAGGATCTCTCTCTCTCTCCCTACTCCTCTCTCTCTTTCTCTCTCTCTCTCTCTCTCTCTCTCTCACACACACACACACCCTTGGCCTTGGCAAAATCTGATGATGGGTAACTGACTTGGGATTAGCCCACCCAGTGGTATTCCCTTGAACTGGGAGCCTCAGGGGAGCAATACAAGAGCATGGATGTGGTTGGTGGTTATCCATGGAGACAGCTGGAAGTCATTTGTTCAAAAGTAGCAAAAGTCATTTGTTCAAAAGTTGGCATGCTGACCCAATACTCCCGCCAAGACACCATTACTGTGACTCCTCTGGCCTTGCCCTCTGACTTGCCACTTCTGGATTGGAAAACTGAGTCCTGGGACTTAAAATGACGTGTCCATGTTCACATGATAAATTATCATCCAGGCCAAAACTCAAACCTAGATTTTTCACTGTACCCCCACTGCTTCCTTCCTAGCACAAGAATCTCCCTTAACTTGTACCCATTTCTATCCTCCAATAGCCCTTCAGTAAATTCCCTTCTATGTAAGTTACCTGGAATCTGCTTTCACTGCTGACACCCCAGACAAACACACAATCGTAAAATAGTGGTTTCATGTCCCATCTCATGTCTTCATAGAAACACTCTCAAGCAGTTTCTCAGACACTCAGATCCAAAGCTTTACTTTGGGGGCAATGGGAAGACACCTGCATACGTGGGAGTGGGGATGAGGAGAGAAGAGTGAAGAAGAGGACGGAGAGGGAAAAGAATCACACATTTTCTATCCACTGCATTCCAGGACTGAGGGTACAGCAGGGGGTCAGCAGAGGCAGAGGCTCTAACAGATGCCCCTGAGGCGGCAACACGGGGAGGGAGGTGTTTCGCATCTGAAGTGGCAGGAGTGAGGTTGGGTGAGGCTGAGGATCTTGCCCATGGCCATGCGGCACGTGATGGCAGAGCCAGCGTCAGAGCCAGACCGCACTGCTAACCAGACCTGCCCTTTCTGCTTGAGTACATTTGTTGAGCGCCAGTGGGTAAACCGTATGCCTTGTTCTTTTACAGTATGATTTCCATGTTGTATCCATGATTCGGAATGAGTTCGTAATGATGTGATGAGATCACTGGATTATGTATTTATTTATTTAAAAAACCCAAGGTAGAAAACTTTCCTGAGCCCATGAGAAGCAGAGCTGGAGGTGCCCTGAAGTCTGTTTTGATTTAAGGGGAATGGATCTAGCTTGAGTGTAAATTTGAGACTGTGTTTGCTTGTCTCACACTCTGTTTTTTCAAATTACTTTCATATGTTTTATTTCATCTGTTTCCCCCACTTCTGGATGAGAAAACTGAGACCCAGGATTTGAAGTAATGTGTCCATGTTCATACAACAAATTAGCATCCGAACGAAAACTCAAACCCAGACCCTTTCACTGGACCCCACCCCCATCTCCTGCCCCGCACAAGAATTATTATTGCACCAGTTGGGCTTAACAAAGGGATTTGCACTGACTCACGCTCATGATTTGATTTGGCCTCCTGGGATTCTGCAGGTAAACATCAGTCCCCCATCACTGTCCAAGTATATGCAGTCTCTCTCTGTTTTTGTCTAGCTCTTCACGTTTTCCCTGGCTTTCCACCGCTCCTCCCTCCTCCCTTTCTCTGTTTCTCTCCTTGTCTTCTCTTCTTTCCTCCCTTCCTCTCCTCCCACAAGCACACTTATTTTTTCCTACACAGGGATGGTCTCACGTTGAGGGGGTGGGTGAAACACGAGCAGAGCAAGCGTCTTTTAAGTCCCTGGAAGCAGAATATTTTCTTATGGATTTTTACTGTTTGGATTGTTTTGCCAGGCTGATGAAAAAAGACCCTAAGGCCCCCTTATCTCAGGCCAACCAGAGGACGTCTTCAAGTTTTTGTTTTTGTTTTCAAGCTGGTTCCTTACAAATGCATCTAGAAGGTCACTCTCAGGTCCCCAAGATAGGAGCAGGTAATCAATCACACCCAGGACATCAGCATCACAGAAGAGAATCTCATGAATGGAAGCACTTGGGGAAGGGAAGAGGGGAGCCTGAGCTGCCCCAGAATTGTGAGCTCAGGAAAGGTGATCTGATGGATTGCTGTCTCCAGAAGTTCCCTGGGATAGTCTCAAGTATATTCTGGTTCAGTGGCTGGTCTTGCCCTCCGATTTTTTGTTCCAAATAAATAAATAAATAAATACATACTTGCTCAAAAGGCTCAAACGTTTACCAGATAATTTGATAATTGCAACTCAGCAAGCAACAAAGACAGTGTCTAATAGCACCAAGGGCTGGGTCCACACAGTCCCCCAGGCAATCCCTTCTGAACAAACAAAGCGGACTCCAGTTCCGGCTTTGCCAAGGAAGAGCCTTGTGAGCTCAGGCAACTCATTTCACTTCTCTGGGCCTCACTTCCTCAACTATAAAATGACCTAATACATTAGTTTATTCTTTCAACAAATACTTACTAAACATCTATCTGGGACACGCCTTATGCAAGGAACTGAAAATATTTTTTTTTATTTTTTTAAAGATTTTATTTATTTATTTGAGAGACAGAGTGAGGGAGAGAGAGAGCAGGGGCTGAGGGAGAGGGAGAAGCAGACTCCCCCGCTGAGCAGGGAGCCGGACGCAGGGCTTGATCCCCGGACCCTGGGATCATGACTTGAGCTGAAGACAGATGCCCAACCAACTGAGCCACCCAGGCAGCCCTGAAAATATTTTTTAAAGGATAGATAGACCCCTAGGCTCAAGGGTCCTCAGAGTTTAATTGGGGGAAATATGCATAATAAAGGAAAATAATAATATTTTTAAGCGTTCTACTGGTACTCTGTGCAAAGTGCAATGGAAGGACAAAGGTGAAAACAACTTGACCCAGCTTTAAAAGTCTATGTGTGACTTTATTTGTTTTGTTTTGATCTGCCTTTCACACTAATGTATTTTATTCTTCCTTGACTTAGTTATTTTCAAATAATCATTGTTATTATAAACCATTACCAATTACTACATTACATACTGTTTAATTGCCCCAACAATTATAAAAGTTAGATATAATGATCACCATTTTGGATACTTTAGATATAAGAACACCGAAGCTCAGGGGCGCCTGGGTGGCTCAGTTGTTAAGCGTCTGCCTTCCACTCAGGTCATGATCCCAGGGTCCTGAGATCAAGCCCCGGGCTCCCTGCTCCACGGGAAGCCTGCTTCTCCCTCTCCCCTCCCCCTGCTTGTGTTCCCCCTCTCTCGCTGTCTCTCTCTCTGTCAAATAAATAAATGAAATCTTTAAAAAAAGAAAGAAAGAACACCGAAGCTCAGAGAGGTTAAGGAATCTACTCACACCCAGCTCACACAGCTGGGAAGTTACAGAACTGAATTTGAACCCCCAACTATCAACTTCAAGGCTTGTGTTCTTTCCACTATGTGGTACTGCTTCAGGTATATGCAGCAACTCGGGACTGGCAACGTAATTTGTGGAAACAAATGCAAAGTAAAAATATGGGGCCATTTGTTCAGAAATTATTAAGAATTTCAGGACAGTACAGTAGAGCATTAAATAAAGCAGAGGGCCTTTCTAAGCATGGGACCCTGGACACCTGTCCAGGTCACACACCCATGAAGTCTGCCCTGCCAGCTACAATTTACTTTGCAAATAGCATCTCCCAAGGAGCAAAAGCATCATAGTAACTGGAGGCCCAGACCTCAGTGACAGAATTCTCCAGTGGTCATGCTTCATGTGCACACTTCCTGATGTCACCCAGAGGGCTCAGCATGGATCACTTGGTCAGAACTTGGGGGCTCTGTGCAGTAGCTTTCCCAGAGAAGGAACATTTTTCTGTGTGGGGAAAGATAGATCATTTTGGGCTGACAAGGGTTCTGACCACACCCTCACTTTACATTTAGAACCTGAGGAGGGACTCATTTTTTTTTTTTAAGATTTTATTTATTTATTTGACAGAGAGAGAGACAGTGAAAGAGGGAACACAAGCAGGGGGAGTGGGAGAGGGAGAAGCAGGCTTCCCGCCGAGCAAGGAGCCCGATGCGGGGCTCGATCCCAGGACCCTGGGATCATGACCTGAGTCGAAGGCAGACACTTAACCGACTGAGCCACCCAGGTGCCCAGAGGAGGGACTCATTAATGCAGCACAAACAGAACATAGCCAAAGCCTCTTAGCCTCTCTTGTTAAAACTGTAGGGCAGGGCACCTGGGTGGCTCAGTCGTTAAGCGTCTGCCTTTGGCTCAGGTCATGATCCCAGAGTCCTGGGATCGAGTCCCACATCGGGCTCCCTGCTTGGCGGGAAGCCTGC